ATGTGATACTTCTCAAAAGATATTTTATCAAAAAATGTGTGCTATTATTAACAGTTAAGAAAAATAATAACCTCTATGCCTGAGGATAGTAAATGTTTTTACTGAAAGTACTTGCGAACAATATGGCCTGAACATTTAATTCATTTTACAATTAATAAAAACAAAGATTGTGTCATTAAGAGAGTGGTCAGTGAGTTAATGCCTTCTTAATCTGTTAGCAAAGTGAGTTTGCCATTAATTACATTAACTTTATTGATTTATTATTTGAATGACTATTTTACAATATTAATTAGGCTACATTATTTAATAATTTATATATATATATATATATATATATATATATATATATATATATATATATATATATATATATATAAATGTATTATGTCTGTATATTTTAGTTTTAATCCTTTCAAGTCCATGAATAAATTTCTTGGTGGTTATAGAAAATTAATCAAGAAAATATCCAAATTTTCTTTCAAATAATTTGTAAACTTGAAAGGATTAAAACTAAAATAAATGGACATAATACATTTAAATTATTTAATGAAAATATACTGCCTAAATATATACACACACACACACACACACACACGCATACACAATATTAATAGAAAATAGGGGGATCACATTAGAAACAGTGGAGTTCTAACTGAATGCAAAATCACAGGTATTGAAGCCATCCTATTGAAAATCCAATACAGGTGGGCAGGACATCTTTCTCGTATGAGTGATAATAGATTTCCAAAACTCCTCTTTGACCAGCTTCTAACAAGCAGGTCAGTTAGAAGGCCACTCTTGCATTACAAAGACAAACTCAAAGACTATCTGAAGTGATGCAGCATCTCCTCTTTTTCCTGGGAAAAGAAAGTGTCAGAACGAAGGAGCTGGGCGCCTGTCCTGTTCCTCATCTATACAAAGGTTTGAGCGATGCCAACTTTAACATCAGGATCAACTGTGTGCAAATATTAAAGCAAGTTGGTGGCCTTCCTCCCAATGATAGCCTTTTACCTGCCATTGTGGCTTTGTCGCACAGAATAAAGCAGGCCTTGCTCTCCACTCATGGAAACACAGGGCAACTGATCCTCAACCACTAGAGTAAAATGGCTCAGTCATATGTTTCATCTGACTAAAAGTTTGTAAAACACCTGTAGACCTCAGGAGACACATGTGTGTCTATAGAAGTTGAGTATCTTTTTATTTTACTGATTTGTCGTTCACCAACATTCTGCTCAGACACATTTGGCTTGATATGATTGTTCACGAAAGATCATGGGAAATTTGTTTGCTTAAAAACAGTAATTTGACTTTTCTAACTAGATGCTTCCTCTATAGTTAACTAGTATAGCATGTCAAGCCAAATGAAGGTTCTGTGTAGGATACAGGTTTGATTCCTGTTAGAGAAGAACATATTTTCTATGAAATTTCTCAGACATTCAAGCCGGTAAATGTAATTAATAATGTTTATTATAAACAGAGCATTTACTTAAATAATTGTATCTATAAAAATAATGGATAAACAGAAAATATATTAAAATAATTGTTGGGCTTTGTCCATTTCATGATATATGTTGTTATTTGTTTACACTAAGATATGCTTCAAACAGATATAATTGTTCGAGAAAGATCATGGGAAATTTGTTTGTTTAAAAACAGTAATTTGATTTTGCTGACTAGATGCTTCTTCTGTAGTTAAATGGTATAGCATGTTAGACCAAGTAATGGCTTATTGTACAATACATGTTCAGTTCCTGTTGAAGGGCACATATTTTCTATGAAATTTCTTAGACATTCAGGCTAGTAAATGTAATTAATACTGTTTATTATAAACAGAGCATTTACTTAAATAGTTGTCTCAATATATAAACAGAAAATATATTAATATATGAAATGGATTAAGTCTGACAGTTATTTAATATATTTTCTGTTTATACGCTATTTTTATAGATACAATGTATTATCGTCTGTATTTTAATTAAACAGTATTAATTACATTTACTGGCTTGAATATTTGAGAAAGACTTATAGTTTTGATTCTTGGTGGAGAGTAGATATTTTTTACAAAATTTCTTGAACATTCAGGCTGGTAAATGTAATTAAAATTGATTAATTAAAAAAACAGAGCATTTACTTAAATAAATTATATCTATAAAAATAACGTACAAACAGAAAATACATTATATATATATATATGTAAGCAAATGTAAATGGATATAGATCCGACAGAATGAAGAAAATTTGGAAAAAACAAACAAAAATCCTTAAATGCAATTATGTTGTATAAAATGAATGAAATGTCGACGTCTGACGTTTCGGTTTAATAAAGCTTCTTCAGGACAATATTCATTAAAATACAATTCAGTTCAATTTGACAAAGACGATGGACATAAAAAACAAGTCTTATCCAAAACAATTTTCAGTTATCTGTTTTGGATAAGACTTGTTTTTTATGTCCATCGTCTTTGTCAAATTGAACTGAATTGTATTTTAATGAATATTG